ATTTAACAGTTGCTATGGAAAAAAGAAAAAAAACTATTTTTAAATAATATAAAATATTTAATCTCTAAATTAATTTCATATGCATGCATGCTAAATTTGTCAGATATTAACATTTTTGAGTAACTTGCAATATAATATAGTTATATATGCGTGCTTCTTCTAACATGACACATTTATAAACATAATAAATTTTTGTTGATATAAGGTTTAAAAAAACTGTGAATTTTATGTATATTCATGACATTCTGGGTTGTTTTGGATACAAAAATAGACACCGCATTATCATATCAGCCTTGAAATATCTAGTTTTTAAATGATTTTTTCGAGTATGTGAGAGAGATCGGATCTCATTCCAAGAATAGGCAATAAATAAGCCATGTTGGAATTCCTGTCGATGTGCATTCCTTTTTGGCGATACCAAAACCATTGGCGGTGCTCACCAATATTTATCTGCTAGGGTAATAATAATTCGCACCTCTGGAAGTTATTAGAATTTTACAGTTGCGTTAAAAATACAAGAACTGTCCTGAAATCAAAACTAAATTGGTTATTTAACTTAGATGGTCTTACTTTGCTACAAATTGGTGATCGTAAATCCTACAGTATGTTCAAAATTCTATGCAAAATTTACTAAAATATAAAAACTTCTTTGTTTTTTTTTAAATGGAACACTCTGTATATTATTTCTATATTAGATGAAGAATTAAAAAACGAACATTTTTTTGTATTTAGAATATTTCAAAATTGCTAACGGTTTCGCAGATAATCGCGGTTTTGTATTTCATATGGCATTTTCCGCAGTAAATTTTTATTAAAGCTACCCAATGATTTTCTCTGGTATTTTGACTGAATACAATTTTTGTTTCAAAAAAGTTCATTTTTTAACTTTATATCTATTAAAAGAATTATATACAGGGTGTTCCATTTAAAAAAAGACAGAAATATTATTTTCTATTTTAGAAAGTTTGGCGTAGAATTTTAAACACTCTGTATGATTTAAGATTACCATATTTATAGCAAAGTAAGTATGTATAGATCATCTGAAGTAAATATCTGATGTAGTTTTGATTTCAGCACACTTCTTGTATTTTTAATATTTTTTTTAAGAAAGGCTGAAAAATATATATTATTTATTTATTTATTAATAATTGAAGCTATCGAAATATTTTTACTCATATCTTAGGATTATGTAAAGTGATCTGAAAAGAAGCCAAAAATGCAATAATATACAATCCAATTTTTTGCGCCACCTTATAGAAGTTAAAATATTTTCCTGGTTTGCACTTAAACAAAACTGTCAAGTTTTTTATTCTAGGAGCTATAGATTTTTTTTTTTTTGAGGTGTAAAATCTCTCAAGGAGACTCAATCTCTCCTTAAACTGCCTGGAGGGACACTACCCACTAAGCGTCACCCTCTCCCTCCTGCCACGTCTACCTGGACCCGCTTGACGCATCTCCTCAAGTAGACGCCGGACTGTTCCTTTTTTTTTTCATTAACCCTGCTCTTCGCTGTATTTTGCCTCTAGTATATTTTGGGCCAGTTTTGAGATGGCTTCAAAGTTTTCTCTCCTTTCTGTTACCGATTTTAAGAAGGTATCTGCGGAGATGTTGCCACCAATCGTCATGCGTGCTTCACATCTTTCTTGTTCCCATCTTGGACAAGCAAACATTGTGTGTTCTGGAGTATCATTGGGTTCAGCACAGTATCGGCATTCCGCGACTTCCCTCTTTCCAATTTTACACAGGTAGCTCCCAAAATTTCCGTGGCCACTCAATATTTGAGTAAGATAGAAGTTTACCTCTCCATGCTTTCTTTTAATCCACATATTTATATTTGGGATGAGCTTATATGTCCATCTTCCTTTTTGTGATACTTCCCATTCTGCCTGCCACTGCTGCACTGTGCGGTTTCTCTCCATCTCTCTGCTTCCTGGTTTGTACTTCACCCTTGAGAAAGAGTCGTTCTCTTTCTCTTGAGAGAAGATGCAAGGGCACCAGACCCGATATCACTAAGGCTGCCTCAGTTGAAGTTGTCCGATACGCCGAGCAGACCCTCAAAGCCATGACTCTCTGTGCACTCTGTGTCTTTTTTTATTTACGTGCATATTGGTTGCTTCGTTCCACACAGGTGCTCCATACATAATAATATTCTGGCACGCATATGCTAACACTTTTCTCTTTGCTGGTGTTGGGCCCCGAACGTTTGGCAGTATTGCGGACAACGCTTTAGCAGTTCGTTGTGATTTCGGACACACCTCCTTGATGTGCAGGCCCATCGTGAGTGCACGGTCTATGTGGAATCCAAGATAGTTGACTTGCTTTACTGGATTTATTATCATATCCTTAAAATTAAACCTTATATGGTCAACTTTTCTCTTGCGGCTCAGTAAAATCGCCTCTGTTTTTTCCACAGCTATTTCGAGTCTGTGCTCACGCATCCATTTGGCTATGATCTTTAGTGTATCATCCACAGTCTGCATTAGGTCGAAGTCGTTTATTTTTTTGTTTCTTTTAGTTTTTTTTGTTATTATCACAGCAAGATCATCGGCGTAACAGATCAACTCTGTCCCACCTGGTACAGTAAGCTCCATGACACTGTCGTATAATATGTTCCACAGAGTTGGCCCCAGCACCGAGCCCTGTGGGACGCCACCGAATACCTCTCTTTCATCTTCTCTATTGAGAACTATCAAGATAGCTTCTTATTATGTTCACCTACAGGAGCTACAGATGCCCGATGCGATATTGTCGGACCCTATATGTTGTATTATAAGAATAAAGTATTATTGAAAATAATAAGTTATGTTCTTCTTCGATCTACCACAATGTTGAAACCTAATTAAGAATTCATAACATGGTGACGCTTAGGTATTCAACTTGATTTATAATCGAAACATACCGATAGAAGGTTGGTCTGTTGTTACCATAAAGATTCGCATGAAACCGATGAAATACAATATTGATCTAGACAAGAGATAAGATTTTGAATTTTAATAAGTAGATGTTATATAATTATACACGGTGAGTCAAGTGCAAATATTTTCAGGGCTTGTAGACCTCGATAAAAGAAAAAACATATTTTTTCTTTACCTTTTTTCAAATAAGTCCAAAATAACCGAGATATTTTACCTCGAAAATTTCCAAAAAACTTTATTTTTTGCTTAAATTTTGAGAACCACTGGATCTTTTCTGAAGAGGATTACTCACTCTAAGGCAAAGCGCGCACCAAGATGGTAAGTAAGTGGCGTGGCACGTGGTAATCGAGTGGCAAATGGATCTGCTAAAGCCTACGTAAAGAAATGCTACCGCGCTAATATGAGTGGAGTGGCGATGGAGCGGCCTTTTGTAAGTGGAGTGATGCCAGTTGGGTGTCACTAGTCTCCAGCAAATTTAATTTTCGACTGGCAAGCGGCTGGTGATCACATAAAGTTTGAATTGCAACTGCCTTTCCAATACGTAATTATATTATTTATATATTTTTACTGTTATTTGAAGTGTGAATTATATTTTTTATTATTCATAGTCACTGAGAAAATTTCACTATCTTCATTTAATAGAAAAGTTTAAACTTTTGGTTATTCAGGTTCAAATTCTTTTTTATAAAGTTATTAATAATACCAAACATTTTTATTTTTCTGACACGAAGGATGAATCCAATAACAATGTTTTTTCTTTAAAATTTTTTTTGTTCTCCTTATTTTGAGTGTTCATCCTCTGAGGCTGATGACATTTTCGATAATAATAAAATTACTGATGAGATGAAGCAGTGATACCAATGTCGCTTGCTACTGCAGTGCGCATTACTTCATTTTCATACCACTTTGCCACTATACCAGTGCCACGCCAGATAATCACCATTCCTATACCTCACGCCATTGCTTTACGTCGCCACCGCCATGCCACATCATTTCAGGGTTGCCACAAGGTTAGCTACATGCTACAAAATTGTGTACTTTGCTACATATTTGCTTCAATGATTGTACAGCTACACCACAATCGCCTGAGCTACACATTTTGAAAATTTACATATTTCGTATAAAAAATAGTAGCAGAACAGTAAATTAGCTAACAAAAGCTAATTTTTTTGCTTTTAAGTTATCTAAGTTAGTACATCAAAAGAGGTCGCAAGTGTACTTTAAATTTTGAACTGACAAATATCATTATCCGTCATTAGTGTTCAGGTGTTCAGTAAAATGTCAGAGTATGAACTGGGTCATGAGTCAAGAACCAATAGACAATAGACAAAAACGGTAAATAGACAGGATTGCTGATTCCCTTAAATAATACATAATACGTACTTTGGCCAAATTTCACTGCTCAATTATGTCAGTGTAGATCACAGTCTCATTTCCACTCATTTGCATGAATATTATTCAATTCTTATTTCAGTTCCTCCCATGTCAGCAAGGACTGCAGTTTCTATGGACAAATTTGGCCGATTAAACAGTCCTAAATAGTTTACAGTTTTTAAACAGAATTAACAGGTCTAGGAAATGAAATGGGAAATGAATATATTGACGTATACAAACGAGTGGAACTGAGACTCGTCATCATGCTTTAAAATTTGACGAACCTACGTCTTATTGGATAGTTTCCAGTTATTTGTCATGGATGGCTACACAATGCTACACATTTTTATGGTCAAGTTCTGTACATTCAAAAATTTTCTTGTGGCAACACCGCATCACTTCAGTGCGCGCCTGGTCTAAGACTCTAAGAAGAGGATTTTAGATAGAGCTCTGTAAAAAATATTTATGTATGATTTCACGACGATCACTACTTTCCTACTGGCAGATCAAAAATAAAGAAAGAAATCAGCAATGGTGTTGGGTCATTTGTACATCATTTGTACCGTATTTTCAAATTATAATTAGTATAAAAGAATTTTGACTTACAGAAATGTAAAATATTTTTTCAATATCTCCTATATATTCTCCTATATTCGATTATTTAGAAACTTGTTAATAGTGAAGTTTAAATCTTTTTTCTCTCCTTTCCAGATGGCGAGTACCTGTTCGCCGAACCCGATAGCAAGCTCTCCAAGTACGCGCCGAAGAGCTGGCGCTCGTCCCACAGCCATGGCCTGGACGCGAACGGCCGCCCCGCCCTCGCCTTCTACTTCCGCGTCCAGTTCTACGTGGACAGTCCGCTCCTGCTCCGGGACGAGACCACCCGCCACCACTACTACTTGCAGCTGCGGCTCAACGCGGCCTCGGGGGCGGCGGGCGACCACGCCGCTCACCTGGCGGGGCTGGCGCTGCAGGCCGATTTGGGGGACTTTAACGAAACTACTAGGTGAGTAGTAACCTCGATTATACAACTCTATGTATATTTTTCCTATATAGAAGGATGTGATTAATAACTGATAATCATTTAAGCGATTATCGCTTGGTGGCCATATTGTAATTGTCATTTTTTGAAAGATTAATTCAGAAGTCATTTCTTACAGTTCCACAAAATATCTCGTCAATTCTTATTACAAAATGGCAAAAGAGAGATTTGGTAAAATTGTGTTGCCTTAAGTCGACGATGCTATTAAAAATGTGAAGCTAAGAAATACCGAGCATTCAGACAAATACGTATGGAAGCAGTTTACTGAGTTTTGCCTTGCACGAACTTTCAAAATTGAGAAAACGACAACAGACGAGGATTTGTGCAACATTTTAAAACACTGGACATATAATATGCGAAAATCCGATGGAAGCGATTATAAAAAAGGTATGGTCAAGCTTTTATGGAACAAAACGGCCAAAATGCTCCAGGAACTATATTTTCAAAAGTATAATCGCCGCATCGATCCCATTCAATGACATTTTTCAAAGCGCCCCGCCCGGCGCGTTTTGCCCGAAACGCAAAACTTTGGAAAAGAGTTGCAGGCAGTACCTGGTACACGAAAGGAGAGTTCCACAGCTTTGACGAGACAGGAAATAGAAAAAACGGCCTTAAGTTTGGATGAAAATACCTCAGATGGGCTTCAACGGAAATTTTTCCGCATAGCTGCATCCGGACTAGCATGGAGAGGAAATGAAGCGGTTTTTTGCTGTTTGGAATATTTTAAGGAGGAAAAATATAATAACGGGGCTAGTACCGGTCGACTGGAATACAATCCGATTTTTGCTAAAACGGCGCAAGGAGGAGTAAGTCGAACATGCAAAAGTAAATGGCTTGGAAAAAATCTTGTGAATCCGGATTTATGTCCAGTACGATTATATTTTAAGCTAATGTCCAAAAGAGGAGCGAACATTAAAACTAATCGATTATTTTCGACGGTCAATCAGAAATGGAAACAGAATGATAATTCCCCATGGTTCAAGAATTGTCCAGCAGGTATTAACATTATAAGAAACTGGACAAAAATGGGAGCAATCAACATCGGCCTAGATAGCGGCCTAGGCTAACAGAGCTTCAACAGTAAGTTCTCTTAGCAGTTCAGGCGCTAATCTCCAGGAAGTCATCAAAATAACGGGCCATAGTTTTATAAATTCTGTTACTCCCTATCTCCAGCCCAGCGAGCAGCATCATATGAAGATTTTGTCGCAAATGAGAGCCGAAAATACACCGCCATCTACTTCTAATGCTGAAGACCAAATTCAAACACCTCCAACCTTCATCCAATGGTTCAAGTTTTCACTATAACAATTGTAGTTTTATTATTAATAATAATTATTATAATGAAAATGTTTACTTATTTTGTTGTATAATCTTTTGAATACAACTCGATGTTTCGGTATTACCTAATACTTTTGCCTGACACTCAATGCGATACCGGCAACACTACTACTCCGAGTCATAGTAGGAAACATCTTGTGGTATTACATTCGATAATTTTCTTAATCATTTCCTACTTATTTCACTGTCTTAGTTCTTCTTTACGTACTGTTACTCTCGTGACGGTTGGTGATAATTTTGACAATTTTCTCACGATTCTCGGTTTTCCTCATGGTCAGGTGGGTCCAACTGCTGTTTGAATCTAGACCTTTGAAGGATTCCCATTCCAGGGTACGGATGGAGTCCTCCAGATTTTTTTAAGTTAGTTTCCATTCAAAAGACCGAATACATGTCTGTAGGAAACGGCGATCATAGTGATTTGGATATTGGTATGGGCAAAACAATAAAACACTGCTCCAAATTTAAATATCTTGGAGATGGCAAAAGCAATGAGGATATATGTAATAAAATTGGACAGGAAAGAAGAATAATTAGGGAAATGAACTCTCTTCTTTTTAGCGATATAATATCAAGAAGACGAAACAGATGATGTACAGATGATGTTGGCCACCTTCAAAGAATGGATGATTTAAGAATACTCAAGAGAGTATGGGACTGGATCCCAGCAGAGAGAAGAAAACGAGGAAGACCAGCAAGAACAGGAAGCCATGCTTGAAAGACACCTTAGAAATGGCGACTGGTGGGACCGGAATTTATGGAAGTCGAAGAGCGGGAAACGACACTAGTCGTCCAAAATGGTTTAAATTTGGCATGTGTGTTTACCAAACGTAGATCTTTAAAAATTTTATTTACGCCTCCGCTATAAAATCAATAGAAAAGCCCGAGGGGTGTCTCACTCGGGTAAAAAATGTACACGTACTGCCAAAATATCCTTCCACTGCTAAGCGACTGCCAATGACTATGAAGAAGACTGCCTATGACTGCCATGTAATTATTATATGCGACTGCCATAAGACTGCCAATGACTGCCAGCGACTGCCAAGAAAATGTACAGGTAATTCCAATAGTGAGACACCCCTCGGAAAAGCCAATATTTGAACAGTTCAAAATTTCCATGGAATTTCCTATGTTTGCAACGACGATGCACCACGCTGTATATATCCACTTGGGAAGCACAACGGTTCTGGTTCAGTTAGTGGAATGTTCGCTCGTTTTCTAGCTAGATCGTTTGCTTTTGTTTTACCTTCTATCCCTTGGTGGACTAGCTCCCAGAGTAGCAGAACTTTATTTTCTTTGTCTAAAGCCGGCATCCCACGACGCAGGACTTGGCGAGTTTGGCGCGCGATTTGGCGAGCCACGCGTCGTGGAAATGAGAGCGCTCGTCGATGCGGTTTTCCGGTCAGTTGTCGGTAAATGTGGCACAAGTCAAATGATGAACAAGCATCGCAGGCTTGACTTGTCTGAACTTGTTGAATCATTTACTACCATTCCCACGTAGGCTTATATTAAACAAAAATGTTTTGCAGTCTCAGTAACGTTCTTCATATCGTCGCAGAATAATCGTTGAGATAGGTCATTTATTTATTTTTTGAAGAATGGAGTGGTCAAATGAACTGGTTATAGAATTTTTGGAACTTTACGAAGGAGAACATGCAATTTGAAATCCAAAGAACCCAAACCACAAAAATAATATCTATTTCGACTTTTATAGAAAGATGCCATCCACCATCGTCTTTTTCTTTGTTTTTATTTAAATTTTGTTCAACACTCATTAACATAAAACTTGCTGTACAGGCAGCAATACGCTGTTTTTGTTGCAATCTCATTATTTGTTCTTCCCTTCACGATGTTGACTACACACTGTCACAAACAAATATACACTCCACTGTTTTCACTACTATGCAACTTGACAAGTCCAGTCGACCGTCGCGCGCAAATTTGCACTCGCCACGCGCCGCGCCGTGGGAAACAATCACGCTCGCTGACTCGCCACTTGGCGAACTGACTTGCCAAGTCCCGCGTCGTGGGATGCCGGCTTAATTTGTTCAGCTTCTTTGACCAACTTCGAATTAATGGTTACTGAGTTGATCGCTTTTAATTCTGCTTGGCTATCGGATAATAGCTATCTTATATATTCCTTGTTTCCGTTAGTTCCTAGTTCCTATCTAAGTGAGTAACACCAATACAGAGGGAAACTCTTTCTTATGCATTACTTACTGATTTGAAAATACTACTGCTAAAGGGGTTTCTCTTGATTCTTCTTTACGTGCCGCCACTCTTTTTATGAGTTCTTCAAAAGTGAGGTTAGTCCATTTCCTGGTGTTTTCCAACGAAGAAGCTTATTTCTTACCCAGACCTTTTTTTTCTTCGATCTTTCCCTTCACTATTAAGTGCAGCATGTGGTATTTTTATCTCGGACTTATATACAGGGTGGCCCATTAGTGCGAGAAAGTCCAACATCGTCGTTGTTGTCGAAGATATGAAAAAAAGTTTTATATCAATGTTGCATAGTTTATAAAGGGGCATATTGTAGAAATATTTTGGTGTATACATTGTGCCACAATCATTTAATAAAAAAAATTGCCTACAAACTAAAGTAGCCATATAGAGGCTACTATGTTTGTTTTTTTTTGGTTTAATAGCATTGTAACTGCCGCTATAAGCGTGTTTATAAGTATAAACGGTGTAAATGGTAAACCAAAAAGACAAGTATTCTACCCAATTAAGAAAAGTAATTCTAACAAAACTAATCCCTGTATCTAATTATCGATCTAGCCGCAGCCTATCCATACTGATATGAAGCTCAGCCATGAAACATAAGGCAAATTATACTGAAGCGAGTTTCTGAAGGAATAAAAATCAGTTGGGTCGATATAAAAGGATCGGCGATTATGTCAACTATATAGATAATGGATTAAGATTGTTATCGGTGCATTCCAGTTAGAGCGAGGCCTAGTTTTAAAGCACCCGAGCTTAAGAGACGCAATAAAAACATGCGGACGATAATCTCAAAGTAGAAAAGATATATATGGAAGGGCAATGAGGCAGAAAAGGAATCGATGGTAGTTATAATAATTTTAAATACATAAAAATTAATTTCTACGGAGATAACATAAAGGTTAATATCCCACACACTAAAAAAAGTAATTGGAATTAATTCCTTTATTCATATTAGTATTTTAATAAATATTCTGTACAAGCCAATCAAATTAGAGGGTTCACTTGGAAAAAAGTGTTGGAAAGCTAGTTGACATGAAAGATAAGGGACCTCAGGAGGATCAAAAGATGGTAAAATTCTTGGACTTTTTTCAGATTTTTGCGTATAGCCAGAACATTGCGTTCTTGTCAATATTTCATTATTACAAAAATTGAAGACCATTAAATTCTGCATATAATGAGTATCAATTCGTTCAATTCGGTAGTATGGTGGAAATCGAAAGATAAAGAATGGTAATATTTACCTATTTTGCTGATAAACGCACTAAAGTGATATTCAAACATTCCTCACACGGAAACGATCATTCTAAATTATGAACCACACAATAAAAGTCACAGAGCATCAAATTAGCATTTTATATCAAGTAATACATGCCGAGAAAATAAAAATTTTCGCGTTCCGTCATCAA